ATCTTGTAAGGTGGTGGGGAAAATTTTTTTTTTTGTAAAAAAAGATGGAAGACTGAAATACAAAATCGACCTGTCCGAGCTTTACCTCTGAAAATAATTATATCGTAAGATAATGGAGCGTTTCCACACTTTATGAACGCACTGTATGTGTGGTTTTTCAAACGTTTGTTTCGTGTAATATATTTTCATCCATAATCAACAACTTTTAACTAGAAGAGTACCAAGTTCACGTCAACCAGTTCGACAATTTCGAATTCGAATATTCCATGTACCTAATCGATATCTCTGGATGAAAATCCATTTGGAGAGATCTAGGACAGGATCTTATCAGATAATATCAATTTCTTCCCAGAACCGTATCACTCTACCAAAATTTCTGAATATGACGTCATTCGATTCGACAGTTCCCCAAATTTGAAATATTCATCTCTATCGGATCGAAAGATCGTTGATGAGTCAATTCAGACATGCATTGAAATCAATTTCTGAATGTTTTTGAAGCCGAATTTGCTAAAATAGTTCTTCGATCAACACGAAGTTAATATCAACTTGTGATTTCGAATGAAACTATTTATATTTTGTATTATATTCAAATCACACTATTCGTGGTAAAATCCACACAATATTTATAATGCTCAAAAACTTATTGGCTGAATATTCATACACCATATTGGATTTGGAATGACGTCACATAGTTTATCGTATTCTACTTTTCAAACCCTTTCATTTGATACCCATGTCGATGGGGTTGTGATGAAGAAGGTGAGTCGCCATCTTGGAGCGTCCGTCATATTGTATTCAGGAAAACATCACTAGGATTCTCACATTCCACTCGTCGAACCCTTCAATTTCATACCCATGTCGATGAGGTTGTTAAAAAAGTTACTCCGCCATCTTGGGGCGACCGCCATATGGGATTCTAACTATACAGGGTGCCCGTTTTTCGAGCTCCACCATGGGGATCTCAGTTATTATAAGAGATACGAAGTTGGTTGAGTTAGGGCAAAGTTGTGATATTTGATGCTGATCAAAATGCCGCTTCGAAAGTTTGGAAATTCCGAATACTTCCGAAGATATTTGAAAAAAAAAAACAGAATATCCGCGATTTCGTTTTTATTTTTTTTCGACTTTATTTGAGGTGATAGTACAAAATGAGTGACATATCAGCATTGCCACTTTTTCTGCTCTATCCAATAGCATTAATAGATTCGTGATCCGACGTTTCGTCTTCGAGAAGCCATCATCAACTCTGTATTTTCAAATGGTAGAAAAAAATTTTTGTTACCAAAGAACTCTAATTCCGATTCTGAATCCAACGACATATAATACTTTATAATTATCCGACGTTTCGAACCAAAAAATCATCATCAGTATTATTTGATGATGGTTACGAGGAAACGAAACGTCGGATCAAAAATCTGATGAAAGCAACTTGTAGAGAAGGAAAAATGGCTATGGAAATGTCAAATTCATCTTGGTCTATCTCTTTTAGTAAAATCAGAAATCTTTTCTTGGGATTAGAAACTTCGAGAATCACTTTTTATTGAAAACTGAAATAGAGATAGACAAACAAGTTGAATTCATCTTGGTCTCTCTATTTTAGTTTTCAACAAAAAGCGATTCTCGAAGTTTCTAATCCTATGAAATGATTTCTTTCTGATTTTACTAAAAAATATAGACCAAAATGAATTTGACATTTTCATAGCCGTTTTTCCTTCGCTACAAGTTGTCGTCATAACCATCATTGAATATAACTGATTTTTTGGTTCGAAACGTCGGATAATTTTGGAGTATTATATGTCGTTGGATTCAGAATCGGAATAAGAGTTCTTTGGGAACAAACATTTTCTTTTCGACCATTTGAAAATACAAAGTTGATGATGGCTCCTCGAAGACGAAACGTTGGATCATGAATCTATTAATGCCATTGGATAGAGCAGACAAAGTGGCAATGCTAATATGTCACTCATTTTGTACTATCACTCCGAATAAAGTCAGAAAAAAATAAGAACGAAATCGCGGATATTCGGTTTTTTCCAAATATCTTCGGAAGTATTCGAAATTTCGAATTTTTTGAATCGGCATTTTGATCAGCATCAAATTGCGCAACTTTGCCTTGATTCAACCAACCTCGTATCTCTTATAATAACTGAGATCCCTATGGTGGAGCTCGAAAAACGGGCACCCTGTATATATATATACATCCATTGAATGATCAGAAAGAAAGCTTCATGTAGAATTGCAGCTCTATTGAGATACAGTGTTGCCAAATGTATGGTCGCAGCATCCATCAGACGATGGAAAATTAATATACATAATGTATATTTGATAGCGCCTCTGACGGCATTTGTGCCAAGTAAAAATATTCGATTCTCTTATACTTTTATTAATGCTGCGTCCGATTTTGATACCAAAAAATCATCATATCTCCCGAACGGCTAACAATAGAGCAACCATTTAAAGAGAATGGATTCCGCGTCCCATGATGGTATCAATGAGGGACTCAGTACAACAATTCAATGCATTGGCGGGAAAATAACATGGATTGTAATCTTGCGTCCGATATACGGTCGCACTATCGCGATGGACGCAGGATTGAATGAAAATTGTCAATACATGGACGCAACATTGATAAGAAGATGAATATATATATATATAATAATAAAATATATATAATATCCCTATATATAAATAAGTAATATAAAATAAATCATATAGTGGTTTACATAATAATATATAAATACGCTGGTTTTTTTTTGTATACTTCTTGCTGGGTTAATATTCACTCAATTTCATTTGATTTATTTCTGTTTATTTATTTTTTTCTCTTCAGTAAAAGACACCTTTCGAGAATGTGCCTTTTGGCGGGGGAAAATGTTTGGTATTTGCCTATCTCTAATCAATAATATCAAAACAAACTGTATATGTATTTATTTTCAACAAAAAAGTCACTGGGCGACCCTGCGCCGATGCGAAGCTACCGGTGTGCTCGGCCAAGTGAGTACCGGGACAATTTTTATTCAGTACTACTTTTACCGCATATAGGTCAAATTCGCTGATTGACCGATTATTTCGTGAATCCAAATTCACCGCTATCATTCCACGGGAAAGTGCATCTACTCATGTAATTGTGACGGTTCCCTACTTCCAAAAGCCCATTCGCTGGCATCCAAGGGCCCTGAGAACAGCCAGTCCCGGATTATTGTGCCGCTCTTCACACTTACTTCTACTCCGGGTAAGTCGTTTAGTGACTGCAAAGTTGAACATTTCCTTCATTTTATACAGTTCATTTTTCAAACCTATTATGAGCTAAATATCAGTCAACATAAAATGTCCATACCTTTACGTTGGAACACGGACAGATGGGAAAGACTTTTTTTATATCTGAATGCTAACTGAACGGCTCTATTCAGATCTACAGTATATTCAACTAATTGTAGACTTACTTCTGTGGAACTGCACTGATGTACTAACTCCGCCAGCACCCTAGCTAATAAATGACAACAGTAACGGGTGAGGTCTAGTGCATATGTCGTGCTATTTTTTTGAAGACTCCTCACAACTGGATTTGAAGCCAAGTTTATGAGGCACTCCAAAACCTCATTCCATTGCCACGAAACTCCTGAGCAACTGGATTCCATCTGAAGTATTCAAATGATTTAGTATTGTTATTGAATATACCTATAGATTACAATAAATTTGGTTAAACCTTTGTAAGGTGAGATAAAATAACATAACTCGGATAGGAATTTCAATATTCCAAAATCGATCACTTTTTCAAATACCAGCCCCTGTTTTTCCGAAAGAGTAAATTTTTTGCTAATACTCATCAAATTTGATAACATGGTTCATAACGTACCATTTTCGGAAATTAGTTTTCTCTCATTAAAATCAAATCTGAATTTGGCAAGAGATCTATATATTACAATGAATTATTACTTTACAATGAATTGCCAACAAGACTTAAAAAAAATATCAGTATCGAAAAATTAGAATAAAAATAACATCAATTATTTTAATCATCCATTCACTTAAACAACGCTGAGCTCAAACTCTAAGAATTACTGGAATAGTTATTATACCTAATACCTACTACATTTTAAATGTAATGTAATACATTTTTTTATTTCTTTAAATGTTCCCTGTTATAAACATATATTTCAATTGTTTCTTGGATATAAAAAGATGATGATGATGATGAATATTCTACCAAAATAAAAAATATATGGCAATGACATGATTAAACAACATTTCAGGCTGTGCTAAACGAATTATATTTCATTGACTCTGAATTGATTTTACTTCAATGATTATATTGTTAGCGACGAAGTTCAAATCATCACCTAAGAGAATGGAACGCCTAGGATTGTCATATCATACTGGAACAGCTAAACTTTAATGTGCCATCTTATCCCACTCGCAATGCTGTTACCTTCAGAAACACACGAGCTAATACAAATATTATGCTTAACTCGCCTATTTATGTAATGTGCAATAACTATAACTGTATTGCAAACATGTGTGACATATTCAGTTGTAGTATTAGTTGTTTGATTGAAATTGTAAATTTGCTGCCATAGGATAACCATGTGATTAGCTATAATTTCGTTATTTCTTAAATTATTTTGATCTTTATTTAGCTATGCTTCATCATATTCTGTAATATTGTCCTGTAAATGGGTAACTGTTGGACAATAAAGCTACTATTATTATTATTATTATTATTATATCACAGGCTGGCGATTCATCGGTTTTCGTCATCAACATGCGATTGGAGCAGAATTATTCATCAGCATTAGAACTTTTATCTCGAAATAATATTGATTTATATGAATCACGATTCTATTTTCATTCCTTATATTACAACAAGTTCCATCTCGTCAAGTTTTTTTAGTTTAATCAATACCAACATGAATCCTACCAATTCACGTAATAAATATTTGGACTGAACATTATCAATATTAATGTATTCGTATAGTTGTAACATTTCACATATTTACCTGACTTTTGTAACTCATTTGCTCTACCAGTATTGGATAGTGATGAGAATCAGAAACGCTCATCATCGGCAAGCCAGTGTTGTCTGATGGGCTCAATCCTCTGTGTAATGAACTTTCAGAACTTATACTATGGCCTATAAGGGGAAATGTGCTTCTCAGCCGCACATTAGATGCACTTAATGCACATAATACTGCACTTAACAACCTCTGGCTATTATTGTAAATATTTTGTCCGTCATCCTAAAATGAAATAAATGATCCATTGTGTTTCCCAATTCGTGAAGCCATGATTAGAATTGCGGCAAAATTTACTTCAACAAAATAATCATCAATATTAAAAGTAGTAGATAACCAAAAAATTGACAAAATCAGTTAAAAATCATCTGATTGTCATTTCCCAACATTCTGTCTCGATACCATTATGGTCACTCAGCAAAACAGACACATCAGTGGGAATCAACCTATTTTAAATACACATTTTGTAACATTCGTTCTTGAAAAAGATTCCAACTCATGTATCCCAGTATCAAGGGATCGTTTAAAAGTGGGTGAGATATACAATGGGAACATTCGCAACAATATAAAAGTAATATGTAAAATATCAATTCAAAAATGATATTCAAACGCCCATTTCATGTCATAGATAACCGTAACCTTCCTGAACCGGAAATCTCAAACAACCCTATCATTTTAGGAACATGGCCTTCGTGAGATCTCATATATTTTATTAAAAATTGAAACAATATAGAATTCGAATTGTATTTCAAAAAGAACATGGAAATAAACACAATCAAGAGTCGAAAGAAGATAAGGATATCTTGATAGTTAATCAAAATCAAAGAACTATATTTTGATGCAAGTAAATTATGTAAGCTGACACATTATGAATTTACAGTTATTTCCTTCTGTTCTATTTCTTTTTTCCCTATAATTACTGATAAAATGACAATTAGAGTCCCTGTATATACCTTAGACAAGAGTCCGGACACAACTATACTTCTGTCCTTTTCTGTTTTCAAAAAATGCATTGATGATTGAATAAAGGAATAAGACATATATATCGAGCTCTATCTTTTCAATTCCCCTAGTATCAATGATTGTCAGAAACAATTTTGAGGGTTAGATTATTTGTCAAACCGTTCATAGCTGTAGGTAGAAGTGAGGAATAGGGCTATTTTAACTAGAATAACTATTAGATTCTCAAATAATGAACAACAGGGTGTTCAAATTTCGAATCGATAATTTTCGTAATCAATTCCTGAGATGGCTATTGCAAATTTTCGTCATCAGATATTTCTTTCCTTCATTAGATATAAGAAAGATAATTTTAGTGTTCTAGGTGGGATCACATATGGCCAAGAAAATATAGTTGTTTTCTGTTGGGATATAAAAAAATAGAAGATATATAATTGTTTCAATATAATTTTAATTGTGTCGGTTTCCCACCTCTTCCTGCAGTCTACATTCACCAGTAAATTTTTTAATTTGATCTGAATTAAAAACACTGTGGACTGATGACATATAGCACATAACAATTTCCCTAAATCTTCTAGTTTTGATTTCAAACTTTCAATTTCTCCCCGCATCATCTCATTCTCATTTTCTTTCTCTGCGATCGTATTATTCAGTAATTCCCAATACGATGACGACGGAACTCTTTTTCTGAAGAGATTAACGGCACAGCAGACTCTTTCAATTTGAAATCCATCAGCTTGAAAGAATCTCTATCAAAATGGGCCTAAAATTCATCTTTTTTGTACTGTTTTTACAAGTGAATTCGAATATTTACCTCACATATTGCGGATTTCTTGAAATTAATTTTCCATTCTGGACGTTCCATTGCATTCTTCCATGACATTATTTTTAAAGGATCATTCGGAAAATTGAATAACTCGAATCCTTTTTCTAATGAATTATCGCAATAATGTACGCAGCAGGACATTGAAATAATTTAAAATTCAAAATTTTGGCGGTCATAAAATTTCAAAGTGACAGAAATTCGAAATAATTAAAGAAAGTGGGCGAGACGACTATGGTGTTTCGTCACATTGTCAGGTGGACAAACCAAATGAAACAAAATATTAAAAACCCCAACGGATGTCAGTTTTGTGTCCGGACTCTTGTCTAAAGTATATACAGGGACTCTAATGACAATATGTGCCTTTGGAAAGTCCACCATCTGTAATTCTAATTATACTGACACCAGTAATTACTGTCTTATTATTTATGTTATTCACATTTCAAAACTTTATAATAATTGTTATTTGAATAAAATGTTATCTTAAAATATATAATGCAATAACTGAAATAACCCTATATGTTATTCCCATTTCAAAACTTTATAATAACTGTCATTTGAATAAAATGTTATTTTGAAATATATAATGCAATAACTGAAATGACCCTATTCTCATTCACAAGTACTCTTACTCTTATTCATGTTTCCGAACAACAAGAAACACGACTCGTTGTCATGAACGACAGTTCTGCACATTGAATGTGTATATAACGTATCGTAGAAATGTTTGGTTTTTAAAAGCTTTAAGTCAACTCAATTTTTAAGTAGATATCTTCAACCGACTGAAATTTAGGATACACGTCTAGTTTGGATGACAATGCACGATAAGGTGTGTGAAGTTATTCCAAATCCAATATGGCGGACCATCCAGGACGGCGAAATAGTTATTTTCAATGCACTTCTACAATATGAGTATCAAATGAAAGGGCTTGTTGAGAGTAACTCGAAAAATAATGTGACATCATTCTGAATCCAATATGGCGGACTATCCAAGATGACGAAATAGTTATTTTTAATTCACTTCTACAATATGGGTATCAAATGAAAGGGGTCGTTGAGAGCAACTCGGAAAATAATGTGTGGAATCATTAAAAGTTCTACCAATTCAAGACCTGGACTGTTCGAAATTAACCGGCAAACGACCTTGCAACAATGATGCGTTGAATGAAATGAACAGACTGAGAAACCTAGCCAGCGATAATTAAAAATTAAAATAGTTATTTTTGTATCTAGAGCGCGAAATGCTACTTTGGTGATCGAGATCTGATTTTTTAAACGAGGCGTAGCCGAGTTGAAAAAATAGTCGAGATGACCAAAGTATTTCACGCTCGAGTTACAAACAACATTTTTTCTACAAACCTCAAAAAATATTGTTCTAAAGTGGCGATATGCTCAGCTTGATATGAAAAATAGTGTTGAACAGGCTTTAATGGCCTCCTCCTATCCTCCATAGGTACGAACGAAGTTCCACGAACATAATAGGAATTTCCATTCGTGCGCTCCAAGAGATAAAACGGAGTTATTTATTGAACATTCAGTAATAAATGATTTCGTGGATGTTTGCTCGATTGTGGACCATTAAGTTGAAATATAAATATCTCATATAAGTATTTTACATAACAGTGCGCGAAGTAGGTACTTCGCGCACTGTTTTACTTCGCGCATTGTTTTATGCAAGGTATCATTGTAAAAAAAGTGTCACTTCGCAATTTGTTGTCAATGCGCGAACCTTGTCATTTTTTGACGTTTGTAGAAAAAATATATCAAGTGATTTTTTTTTTTTAATAAAAAGCTTTTATTTGAACGCTCTAAAACGAATAAAATGAAATGATCCTTTATAATTCCAACTATCAACTCATAACCTCATTATACACAATTTATATGATCATAAAAACTTGTCGCGCGATTTACTTGTGTGATGTACCTAGTACTAATTCAATTTTGTAAAATCTGTTTGAATTATTGAAATTTCAATTTAATTAAATATTGATCATCGCGACAAGCTTAGCAAGGGTTATTTCCTCGAGATTTTCCGGTTGTTGAGATATAACGTTTAGTGACCTAGATAGTATTTACTTATGTCAGTAATCAAATCTGAGTTTTAGAGATCAAAGAATGCCAAAGCCTAGTTGTGAATTTCAAGTTCAATGCAATGCCCTCAAGATGGCAGACAAGTTCGTCATTTCACATTCGAATCGCCTGAAAAAGTACATCTGCCGGTTTGAAATCAAGTAATATTTTTGAAATCAAGGCCTATGAATTTCTATTGAATAAACATTGAAAATTAAAGATGGAGTCTCCACGATGGCAAACAAATTTATGAATTTCTCGATTTTCTTTTGTTTTCAAGGTCGAGTGTAACAAATGAATCGAAATTTGAGAAACCAAATGGCACTTTCAGGAAAGTGACCAATTCGCCTGAAATGATATGTAAGTTTTGTTCACTATTTGTAATTTCAATTATACAACAGTCGATAATACTTCATGAATAATCTTATACCAGGAATTACTGTCTGTTCATTCATGATGTCATTCCTACTAGAAAATTAATTATACTTTATATATTATTTGTATGCAATAACTGAAATAAATAAATAAAAAATAAATATGTAACCTGCTTCAGTGGATTAAATCCTACATAAGTAATAGATCCCAGGTTGTCAAAATCAACAATATTTCATCATCACCAGTCAGGGTCACCTCGGGAGTTCCGCAAGGGTCTCATTTGGGTCCCCTACTCTTCAATCTTTTTATACATGACATTGGTTCATGCTTTGAAAACTCACATCATTCTATATATGCTGATGATCTTAAAATGTTCAAGTCAATATCTACCTTGACAGATAGCCAACTACTTCAACGTGATATAAATAATCTACAGAATTACTGTGTTACCAATTACTTATCCTTGAATGTAAAAAAATGTCATTACATCAGATTTTCCCGACTGCCTAACGAAATCAATTTTCTTTATAATATTGACAACAAGTCATTATCCAAAGTAGAAGTCCTGAAAGACCTAGGTGTGATGATCGATTCAAAACTCACTTTTGAGGCACATATTGAGAAAATAGTGAAAAAAGCTCTCAGAAACCTGGGATTTATTTCAAGAATAACTAAATCATTTAAAAATCCAAAGTCGTTGTTAATATTATACAACTCTCTAGTTAGGAGCCACCTCGAGATCGCATCGATAGTATGGAACCCCTACTATTATAAATACATTGAACGAGTAGAGAGAGTTCAAATGAAGTTTATGAATATACTGTTTTTCAACTTCAAGAGACCTCAAACTCACTTATCATACGAGAGTCGCTTACAACATTTCAATCTCAGCAAACTTTCCTCTCGGAGAATTGTAAGCTACGTTATATTTCTTTTCAAAATTCTCAGCAACAGAGTAGACAGTGTTACATAGTCAACAGACTCTCGTTCAATGTACTCACACACGTTACCCGCTCACATAATTTGTTCTACCTACCAAATCATAAGACGAACTATGCAAGAAGTTCACCTCTATACATGGTACAAGATTTATATAACTCATATTTCAGCCATATCGATCTGTTCAATAGCACTTTACATAGAGTCAGGAAAGAATCTGGACAAGTTTTCGATTTGAATTGATTCATGACGGAATCCAAATTTTCAGTCCAATACTTTTTTGGTACTTTTTTGTTTTTTGATTTTTGTATTTTTGTTTATTTTTGGTGATAATTTTTAGGATATTATTTTAGTTTCTCTATATCAACTTACAAAGTGTACACTCTATCAAATCAGATGTGTAACCCTATAATTAGAGTTTCATTACTCTGTTGGGTAACCTATGTAAATTAAATAAATAAATAAAGGTTTTCAACGTCGTGAATCACAAATTTGACGAAAATCAGGTATTCAATGTCGCTGTCAAATTGCAATGTAGACGATAACGAATTTGACGCCGATTCAGAAATGTGAGAAAGATTTTCCAAGATTTGAAATTGCTAAAAATGTAGTAGAGAATTCGATAATCAAGTTATCCGAAGTAAAAAATGAAAAAATCTTATAATCATCATATATGCAAATGCATGAACTAAAATTAAAAATATACCAAAGTATATCTTAATCACATTAACTTTGCGCATTCCACTTCAACATTTGTAGAGATGATATATATTTTTTTATATAAACTGTTTGGTTAGTTACATTCCCGTGGCCATTCAACAGTTCACATTACTGTAATAATATTAGCGATAACTCATATGATATTGTTCTTACTCACCTTATTACTTTCAGCCAAAAGATCACATAGGCAAGTCCACTTCAAATATGCAGTAGGATAAAAAGCATGAAAACAGGATACAAAAGTATGGTGACACTCGTCCAGCACATTATTCATCATATTGATGCTCACTGTATTGATCTTGCTAGATTTTTTATTCTGCATGACCACCGTTACATTATCAGACAATATTTGTTTCAATAACGTCCTAACGTCGCCTATGCTCTCTGCCAACTGAACGTTCTCTAAAGACACTTTTCTGCTTATATGTCTCGGGTATATCTCGTTAGTATAAGTGCAGATCAAACGTAAGCTGGCTCTACTGATGTACACGAGCTGTTCTAACTCTAAGTTAGTATACATATTTTTGAGAGATTGGCCCTCCAATACACCCCATTTGAACGTATTCCAGGACCATTGAAGGAGTGACAGTAAACTCTGGAAGCATTCTTTAGTTACAGATCTAGAAAATTCTTTAGACAAAATATGAATTGGTTCTATGATGTCACTTTGCCTGGGTGGTGACTGGTTTTCAGGGGTTATTATTTTATAAAGTAGCTGAGGAATTTGTCCTGCGTTCACATCAGTGCCATTATTCGATTTTTTTGAAGACTTGAAGTAGAAAAGAACTTGATCCTCAGTAGTGACCATAGTTTGACCTGAAGAACCACAATCACTGCTTGGACCACTGATGCGGCACCATGCCACATACCATCGATGAGCCTGAAATCAAATCATCAGATATTATTCAGTCAACGTCAAAATAATGTGAAATCGAAAATGTGATGATATATGGCAAAAATGACACCGAGATGCCAAAAATCGAATTGGTAAAAGGTGATTATGATCATACCCTGCATTTTTCTTAATGTCATCAATTCATGGCCAGACTTGATCAATATAAAAGAACATTTCCTGTAGGAAAAATGCTGATCCCTTACTGTATCCTATAGGTTCTTCAAATGTCGGGATCATATCAATGAGCGCGAAAATTTGTTTTGTAGCCTGGATGACTCAATGCTTCATGAGCCTGAATGAAAACACACTAATTCTTTTGATATTGGGACAGTATAAGGGGTCTCATTGTCTTTAGAACTTGAATTGAGCATATGCTTTCATAGACTTATTAATTATAGTTCAAAATTGCTTACAGTACCTGACTGAATATCAAAGATGACACATAGCGTGCAACTAAAATAATAAATAGAATCCCATATATTATTGAGTACAGTTCTTACTCTCTTAATGCTTTGAGGTATATTTGCTGAATTCTTGAACACTATATTTCAACGTCAATATTCACTCAAATTTCGCTCAGTTGTCTAAGCTTTGAACATGTCGAGCATTTTATAAATCAATGATGTTCAACAAAAATTCCGTTCTTTTTCAAAAATAAAATACCCAAAATAGTCATATGAAATCACTATTTCAATGAACAAGATTCTTTTATCACCATTACACAAACAGAAAACTGCTCAAACGCAACTGTTTTGGATGTTCCAATCTTTGACTCCAGACTGGCCCAAATGACACTTAAGCCTCGTTTCGGTACAGGTATTGAAATGTCAATTTCTATTCAACTTGTGTATTATGTTGAGAAACAGACCGAGCTGTTTGAGCCCTAACCGAATGAACGATGAAATGCCACTCATTGTGTAGCCTAATTAAATAGAATAAAAATCTTCTGAACATAGAGAAATTCAATGTTGAGAGACGGTATTGTTTATAAAGTGGCTTGTGTCGATGGTTATGGTACCAAAATTGTACATAAACCAATTCGTTAAGCTTTCCAAATTCTACTATTTTTTGAGTGGATGGAAACAATTCCGGGAGAATCACAATTCCGTCCAATCCCAAGTATACAAGAGGACTTGATAAGGTTATTAGAGACTTCAGTTCTGAGAGCGTATATCAGTTTGGGTCGAAATCAGGCAATTTATGAATTGCCTATTCAAACGATGAAGTACACACTTGAAGAGTCAGGAATTCACTAAATTGGTTGTAATGATTGTGATGAGACATATATACAGGGTGTTTCCTAATTGATTGTCAATATTTGAGAAGGCGATTCTTGGGCCCATTTTTAAAAGAAAATGTCATATGAACGTATGACCTAAACGTCTCAACTTTCGGGATACAGAGTGGTAAAATTCTCAAGAAATATAGTTCTTTATTAATATCTGTAATACTACATTAATTGATCTCTTGAATTGTTTCAGCCCAAATCACAGTTGTCACCGAAAAAATAAATATAATTATCTGCATTGTGATATTGTCATATTATTAACGATATTGTTAGGATCCGTGCATCAGATTGAAAGAATTGTAGAGATCGAATTTGCTCAGAAATGATTGAGAATGTCAGGAATGATTTCAATTTTTAGATTAAACAGTAGCATACAATCAATGTCTGCCAAAATATTTATGTGAAATTCCATACGAACGCCACTGGTGGCAACAAAAAAAAAAGAGATACACTAACTGATGCCTCTTGAATCATAGTACATGTATGGCAAATTTCATCAGAATATATAAAGTGGTATTACAGGATATTAATAACAAACTTTTTATTTTTGAGAACTTTACCACCCTGTATCTCGAAAGTTAAGACGTTAAGGTCATACGTTCATATGAAATTTTCTTCTTAAAATGGGCCCAAGAATCGCCTCCTACAATTTTGACATTCAATTAGGAAACACCCTGTATATGCAAAGTGTTTCTGAAATAAGTGCACATATTCAGCACATTAATATGATGAAGTCTAAGGAATATTCCTATGATATCAATTTTTTTTGTAATTCTTCTAATAAACGAGAAATTTCATCCCAAAAATTGAACAAAATACGAGACAAAAATCAAGTACGCTACTTCAAAACAATTTAAATGATTGAACTCCGCGTGATTGTGCCTACCGCATGGAAATTTGATCAGAGGTGATGTCAGATTTGCTAGAGTGTAGAACTTTGGGTGGAAAAGGGGTCTTACCTCAAATTTTATTTCGATTCCTAATTTTTTTCATTAGTGCAATTCGATAGTACACATCGAGCTTTCTCAGTGTAGCTTAACATATGTTCAATCATAACACACACATTAATAACCTCAAATTAGTCAAACAAGTTGATAATGTCAGATGCATATGGAAGCCTGGGAATATGTAAGAAGAGTCATCATAGACATATAAAAAAAGGGGAGATATAACATGTCATTCATAAAATACTATTTGTCTATAATCAATCGTCCATAGTTCAAAGATTCAAATGAGTCAGGAGATTGTTCAAAAATGGCAACGCTGTTAACTGTGCGTCAATGTTCACACTTTTCTATACCAGTCGCGTAGGTTAAGAGAGGGGCAAGGCAATTTTAGTACAATGACAACGTTAATATACCTATTAAAAAATGTTTGGGTCTGATCTTTCAATTTTAATACCAACTATTTGTAGTAGCTCATTGGATTTTTTTTGCAATTGCATACCTTGTTGGTCCCAGCACTGGGACCAAACGCCCCATAAGTCGAAACTTGTGCGGGGTTAGGTATACAAACAAGCTTAAATCAAATTTTATATTAATCAGGAATTCCGAAATTCATGATCATCACACTAGACAATATAACTTGTTTCATCTTGAAGCTGCAAATTCTAAACTTGGGCAAAAAAAAATTACACATGAGGCGATTTCGAAATTCAATAAATTACCAGATGATATCAAAAACAGCCCAAATATTATGCAATTCAAAAATAAAGTTAAGAAATATATTTATATGCAAAGGAATGATCAAAGCTGAAAGACTATGAATTTCCTTTTTTCTTTTTTACTGTTTTTATTTTTCCCCTTCTTGTTCACTATAATATGACTGTATCTTAATGATACGTAAGTTTTGTTCACTATTTGTAATTTCAATTATACAACAGTCGATAATACTGTCACGGATGGGACCACTCAGTATATATCAGAGTCAATACACCTTCAGATCCAGGTCATTTCAAATAATCAAACAATTAAATTTCAATTCACTTCAAATAATTCGATGGCGTCGACAAAAATCGAACGGTTTGGCAAAACATTAAAATGAGCGTTGAACTCAGGAGTTTCACGACCTGGCACCAATTTAGGTAGTTTTGAGAAGTTTTAGCAAACAAAGCAAACCGTTCGCAAATAAATACGGACCACACTGTGGCCGGCGGGAATCATTATTATTGGTGATTCCGAATTCGGTCGACATTCAGCCTAGAGGCATTCAAAATTCAGTCTAGACAAAAGTTCAAATTCAAAATTGAGTGATTGAGTGGCGTTGGTGTCGAGATTAACGAGATGGCCCATCCAGGACACATCATCCCCCCGGCGAGAGTATTGGCAGTACTGGTAGCAATGTAAGTACCTCGATCATTTGTTTCCAATATTAGTTGGCCCCATAGTTAGGGAAAATAGGGATCAGTACTCACTTTGAACGCTGTTAATCTCGTGCTAGGCCCTTCCGGCAACTTTAAGTAATCCAGGGATGAAGTTAGGTAATGTACTAATGAAGGGGCGTGTCGCACGTTACCCTGGTAGGGATTGATGTTAGTAAATAACCTTCGAAGCACTTTGTTTTGCTCATGATTGATTTTTTGTTATAATTTTTCACACTTATTGACTCACTTCACTTTAACCACATTTGTTTAATTTGCTGATTCCTTATACACGTACACTCGTTTTGATTTGATTTTGTTCCACTTTGTACACATATAACTTTTTTTCTTTATTTAATTAAATTGTATTTTTTTCTTTATTCACACTCTCGTCATTTCTTTGCTGCAACTCCTCTTTGGTCAGATCACCTCTCGCATTGCCACTACGACCCCCAAATAATCTAAACCTCACAGCTCGGCATATCCCACAAGGGAACGTAGCTAGAGGTGTAGCCCATCACGGGGAAGTCAGCAGCCCCAGAAGTTGGAGGCCGCAAGCTACTCCGTGACATATGGTGGAGGCGCCTTGTCTCGAGTCCCCAAGGTTTCATTCTCCATAATGGACCTGATAATAAGTCAGTAGGTAATTCAGAAATAGGTCAACTGTAGTTTCTCATATTTTATTTTTTTTTATCTTTCTTCTCAGTTTTTTGAACAATATAAAGAAATTGTATTATCAAATGTTTAGGGAATATAGGTGATATAAAAAACAAGAATAGGAAAAGGCGTGCTTGTGCTGTCAATGACGGGTTACCTATTCAACTCCCTAGTGAGTTAATAGTCAACAAATGTCATAACACATAAACTAGCTGTTTTTTCGTACCTTCTTTTTTATATACGGGTGGTGTAAAAAGAGAGGAGAAATATGTGCTTGTGCGGTATATGACGGGTTGTCTATTCAACTCACAAAATAGAGTTAATATACAACAAATGTCAGAACTCATCAGGCTGATTTTTCGTCTACTTTGAGCATCAACCACGCCTATTGATGACAAAAGAGTACCTGTCTGATAAACGGCTGGCTCACTATTCAACCCCTGAGTATGAGTTAATAGTTAGCAAGTGCCTGTGCTGATATAGGGCTGGCTTGTCACTTCATTTTATTTTGTTCTTCTTTCTTTTGCATCTAAACAATAGTAGGTACTCAAATTTAATCAAAGTCTCTTATTATCAATGTCATGCCACGAAAAAACCCAGGAAAGCGTCAGCGAATGTTAGCTAAAAGATACAAAGCATCTATAGCAAATGAACAGGCACAAAAACACCCCCCTATGGTAA